TGATTGATGGACCAGATTGTTTGGGAATGAATTTGGTAATGATAGCAAAATTCTGAGTACCTATAATGTTATGTTTAATGCACAAACATAAGATAACACATATAATCCAAGTGGGAAATTGTAAAGATTTTAATCGAACACATGGGCTTATATGTGAAATATTGTGTATTAAATTAAAGACTATCAATTTTAGTTAAACTTGTTTAAAGTGATCTAATAAGGTTTCGATATTTTGAAATTTGAAGCATCCAATTAAAGTATGAGCATTTATGTGTAGAAACTAGACATGTTCCTAATTTCATGATGGGCCGAATTAGGTTAATGGGCCGTTAGTATATATACGGTTATTGTCTGCAAATCACACGTGAATTGTTCATTTTATTCCGACTCCCATCATCAGAGAGAAATAAAGAACTACGTATTGATCTGGAAGACTAAAATTCCACAATTTATTCATTACATTAATCATGTTTGATTCATGTACGCTTCCGTTTCGATTTACATATTCTTGACGATCCAACATGCACGATCGTTACAGTAAATTGTTTTTCCCAACAATTGCGTACTTTCTTCGTCCTCATCCCATTGCCATCCTTGACTTTCCTGCCTTCCAAAATATTAAAAAATATATATACAAGTCTTAAATTCTAGATAAATGAAATAATTTTCAATTACTTACAATAAACACAGTTCCAAACATATTTTACAACAATTTTTTCACCAAAAAATTCCTGAAAATAATAAAATAAATCCATGACTCTCATTTTTACCCCAAATTTGATATTGCTAATTTTCAAAGTGGAGCCCCCCACAAAACCTCAGCAGCAATGGTGGCTGCTTCAGCCTCAGAAACACATCCCTCTTTTAATTTCTCCAGTATTTCTTGCTTAAAATTTCTCCTCTCTCTTTGCCTTAGCCCTTCCCCATTCTCCATTTCGATTGTAAATTTCACTACACATCCTGCAAATTGATTACTTTCCGACCTCTGCAATTCCACCAGTTTATTGATCAAACCTGCATTCAGCATTGCTTGAACAGACTCTTTTCTTCCAAAATACCCGATTTCAAGTACGCAGTTGAATGCCATTAATCGCATTTCGAAATCATCAGAATATTGTAATAAGTCAACAATCTTTGAAATTCCACCGCATAAATCAAGTTCATCGACTAAAGGGCTCTTGATCGCCTTTATGAGAGAGCAAAGAACTTGTAGAGAAGAAATAGAAGCCATTGATACTAAAGATTTGACAGTTTTTCCGATTAATACAAGGCCCACGAATACGTCTTTGTTGTAAAGAACAAGCTCTTCGATGGCTATGGCGGATTTTTCACGAACCCTTGTGGAAAAAACTGGATTGCATAAAATCCTTTCGAGGTTTGAGAAAATCCCAGATTTTAATAGCAAATCTTGGAGGTTTATATCGAAGCCCTTTGAAAGAATTTCCCGGAATGAATCCATTTTTTGCAGTAGAATTTCTTCATCTGATGATGCTTTTGAATAATGAATTCGGTACAGTGTTTTTGTCAAATTGAATATTGTTTCACGATCTATCCATGCCTGTAGTTCAGACTCAATCAAGCTCGAAACTCGGGAGAGTTCGTGGAACCTGACCCGCCGAGTCACGAACGATCTGATACCCCCACCGGGTTTCGAATCCAGGACATCCTGGATTAACTCATTTAAGTCGGAGAGGTGTTGATTAACAGAAGAGAGATGTGGGTCTGCGGAGAAAACTGATTCGGGCCTTGTTTGCAGCTCCATTAACGTTTTGATGTGCGAGTTGCAGTCGACGGAGTTTTTGGATTGTAATTCTTTAGAAACTTTCTTGATAGCTTCTAAAATCTTCAGCACTAGCTGTACCTGGTTCTCTTCCTTTCCTCCGGCGCCGGCTGTGGCGCTCGCTGTATTTGTTTCATCCATGAAATTGCCAAATTATGCGTAGAGACATAGCGAAATATGTATATATAGAGACCAACATCGGCTAGCCCTCAAAATTGAAGAATGTTGACCAAGTAATAAATAAGCAGCCATTGTCAATTCATAAGTCTTAGGCAAACGCCACACGTATTAAACATATTATTAAATAATAAAAAGAGAGAAATATGTTGTGAGCATATTCGAATTAATTTGATCATTTGTTATTATTTAGGATTTTGTCACCTAAAACACGTTTTGGAAGAAAAATGTTTTCTTGTACCCCACACAACCTAAAAAATATAAAGTTCCATTTGACCGTAAAATACATGAAAAGGTGGTCGGAGGCGTTTTAGGAATCAGATCATCAATTCGAAAAGAAAAAAGGTCGAGGATTGAACTAGGGTCAAATCAAAATTCCGATTATAAGGATAGTAACATGGCAGGTATATGACGGATCGATCATTCACAGCCTCCCGCCCCGTCGCATATTTTGTTATCTTGCTCAATCCTTATACCTGATTAAAGCGAAACAATGAGGGTTTCCTATTCCGTTTATCGCCCAATTTATTATTTATTTTATTTATATCTTTAGTTATTGGATATTATTACATTTTTTTTTTCAATTTGTTGTTCTTTTTAAAAATGATGATAAATATTTTCTTTTTGTTTGATGAAAAAATTTTGAAATTAATTTTAAATGGAACGGGTAGCGGAGTGGGACCATATTTCTTGTACCCGTCCTGTACTCGCTCTGGGGCAACGACCCCTGCTCCCTTCCTATTTACTCGATTAGGCTAGTAATTCCCGCCCCATTCAGGACGGGCCCGCAAGTATCAGGTTGAACGAATTTTTTTATCATTCATACCTGATGATTTTTTAGAAAATATATTTACAAAAAATCTAAAGAATGAATTTTTGGATGATTTTCATTATTTAAACTGGTGAAATCGGAAATAGGTCAACGGTTTTTATTAAATTAGATGGGTCCACGAGTTTTTGTGCTATTTTCCCTTTCTTTGGGTTCAGTTGCACTTTTCGAACTGGTTGTGCCAGACTGATTCTAATTACATTGCTCGGAGGTCGCGTGAACTATGACCCTTAAATTTGGGTTTCTGGATATAATAAAGAAAATAAGTGAAATAGAAAATGTCAAGCGATGGATCTTATCTCACCCATGCAAGTGTAATACGAAAATTCAACAAATAAAAAAGTCAACTTAAGTTGGTTCTAACTTGTAATATACGAGTACCCCACATGAATTGCATGAAACTTTCGAAATGTCAATTCTGATGTGCTATTACTTTCACTGAATATTTTATTTATGATTGGTAGGGTGAATATATTCACACGTAATAGTATTAAATTAAAGAAAGATTTTAATGTACAAATCTTATATTGCATGTTTAACTCGATGGGAACTAGACATAATGTCACTTGAAATAGGGACGGACTCAGGGTTATAGTTCGGGGGAGGGGACAAGACAGAATTACGTAAAAATAATTTCGAATTAGACTTATTTTGTTGAATTCGGGAACTTGTGACATTGGTTGGTAATTGGGGTGCTAGTGTCAAGTGATGGTTCAGGTCCAATCATTAATACAATTAATGAATGAATGAGTTTGAAGAGGATAATGTTAAAATGTAACATAAATTAATATGGTACTCTTTTAAAATTTTAATATGCATAGATTTAGAAATATATAAGAATGATGGATGAAAATAGTTTTTCCCTTATTTTATTTAATATTCTGAGTATAATTAATTAATGAAGTTTGAACAATAAATTTGAGTGATAAACAAATCATAAAGGGTTGTGGTAGTGAATGTATTGTAAAGGTTAACCCAGAGCTAACAATAATTGAGCAACCTGAATTTGTTTCGTTTATCGAAAATATTTATAATGTCAATATAAACAGTCCTAATGCTATGCAGTTATATATTAAGAATACTCATGCTAGACCTAAACTTGTGTAGAAGAAATATATAAAAATTTATTTACAAAAGTTTAATATATACAAGAATTGTGATGAAGATGTCTCTATAGAACTTTATCTCTAACACATCCTTTTGCAAGATAGGCATTTAATGACCCCAATCTTGGACCATTATGGCTGAAATGGAGATGCAGACAGAGGAACGATGAGTGAAAATATCAATGCATCAGCATAAGCAACATTTGAGACACGAGCTGTCTTTGATTCAAACTTATCCCGAACAAAATGAGCATTAACCTCAACATTCTTCATCTTGAAATGAAATCCCCGTTTAGAGCAAAGATATATGGTATACACATTATCATTGCGCTAAGGCGCTGCCTACAAGCGCCTAGGTGTCGCACAGTCTGCCCTAAGGTGGCACAGTTTTAGCTTGTTAAAAGTCCAGTAAAACTCCAAATTCGGAAAATAAAAGTGGGGAAGTATAAATAGAAGAAATGAAGCACTTTTAGGGGGTTCCACACATTGAGAGACGCAAGATACAACTTGAGAATTCGAGAAAAAAATCAAAAGGTAGAAACACATGAAATCAAGAGCTAGGGTTTAGAATCAAGATTGGAGGCAAGAATAGAAACTTGATGCAAAATTAATCTGATTCTCCACATATTTATTCAAAATCGGGTGATGTACTCAATGCAAATCTTTTATTTTTCTTCCATTATTATGAGTAGCTAAGTTTCTATTAGGGTAAATAATGTAATCTTTTGAGGCCTTTATTTTTTTATTTCAAAATTCAAGTTCTTTCATTATTTATGTGTTGATTTTAATTATGTACTTAATGCTTTGAATTATTTAATCACTAATTCAATGATTTTTTGAATCTTTTACGAATCAAGGGGTGAGTTTTAAATTTAGTCCACATATTAAAATTCGGTAATTTAGTATAATGTGTAGATATACTAATTATCGTGTTCTTATATGAATTCTTAGAACTTGTTGTATATGTGACTCATATAGAGTGAAATACAAGTTTACTAGATCAAAATGGATGATGTTGGAGTGAAGCGCACCGAACGGAATGGAGTAGAGCGATGGCATCAGCCTTGTGGGTTTAATTCACTGTTTATTTGCCAGGAACGCTGAATATGTTGGGGTACTGGGACAACGCCCTCGCAGTACGGTATATGTGTATTTTTTTGTATGGGCCATATAGTCTTGTATGAGCTTGGGATAGAGTTAGTATAAATATTGATACTGTAACCCATTATTTATACTGAATAAAAATCTCCGTTTCGCTCCTTGTGGATGTAGGCACATCGTCAAACGACGTTAAATATTTGTGTTGATTTCTATATTTCACTTATCTATTATTTTTGTGTTTAAAATCCAATATAACTAATATTTCATTTAACTAAAATTGATTCGCATAAATATATGTGATTAAATTAGTTGAATGGATTCAATAAGAACTCGAGAGAGATAAATTGAATACAATACAATAATTCGATTGAATACTATATTATGTTATGAATCTTGAATTATACTTAAATGTAATCAATAGATGAAATTGTTTAGCCTTGATATCTCATTCATATTTAAATTTTAATTCGATATGTGCATCCAATTATTTTCAAGTTGTTATATAAAAAATTACAACACATCACAACTCTTTGTTTGTTTTCGTTAAATAATGGTTAAAAACAGCAAATTAGGCATTAAGATCTAGTCCTTGCGGGAACGACAATCTGGACTCAAAGATTCTTATATTACTTGTTGCGATATCGTACACTTGTGATATAAAAAATACAACAGTCACCATTGTAAGATAAATTTTCATCTATATTACAAGATATGAGGAATCGTCAATCTCGATTTAATCAATCATTTCACTAGTTATGCTCTTATGTTTATTTAAACAAGAGTAATGCTATATATACATCTTGCATATCAATTTGGTTGACATTCCCCCATATGTGGAGAAAATCTATGCAGTGATGTGAATCATGTGATGGTTGGGTTCAAAATCAAGAGCGTAGAATGTTGTCACGTGGAAGAATGTAAATAAAGGAGTAAGGGAGAGTAAAATGTAGCAGTGTTTAAATAATTTGTAATTGAAACACTTTTCGCTTATAACTCTACCTTGGCCAAGGAGTTTTAATATCAACCTAAATGGAGAAACACATGTTATAATCTCTTATTACATAAGAGAAATGAATTGGCATTGCAATTGAAAGGCGAAAGGATACTTGGCAATAGAATATTTTATTTCTGAAATTGAATTGTAATTCAGTATATATACACCAAAAAAAAAATAATAAAAAAAATGCGAGATTGACATTTTTTATTGGACTGATCTTCATGTTTATCAGAATTATAGTTGGGTTCCAGAGGTTCCTGAAAACATGAAACCATTTGGTATTCTTTGTTGTAACTCGCAAATTTTTGCGGATAAGGGAAGCTTAGAAGTTGGCTTCGAAATGGTCATCAACCAGCATCTAAAGCAAGATACCGACCGACCGGGTGGGTGCGTAAATATTTCTGAAACTTCAGTTCGATGAACATGTGACAAACTTATAACTTGCTCTATGATCGATGCTTAAACTGATTGATGAAAGTATGACTAAAGTTTCTGAACAATTAGTTAGAATGAAGAAGGATATTGAAGTTTTAGTCTTGCTGAAGAACTCCAGGAAACCCACTCTCCATCTTGAGTTCTGCTTTGATATATTTATACCGAATAACTTATGTGACAAACTTACCCACTCTTGTAGATTCAACCACACATTTCGCCTCCAATTAGAACAAAATCCATACAAAAGGTTATTTCGACATTAACAAAGGATCCACAATTTTGGCTTAGTTTTGCCCACCTTTCACACCCCAAAGTGCCCCTAACTCCACTGCCAAACAAGATTCCAAAACCAAAGAAAATTTGATCATTGAAACCAGGAAGAAGACAAGGGACTCATTCATGTTAAATGTTTGGGCTGCATCACTATTTTACTTGGCATGTTGGGCCGCCTTATTTTCTAAACCGGGTTTAGATCCATTTAGTAAAAACGCGTTTC